TGCAAAATGTTGACTGCCTTATTTTAAGATTTGCAGAACAGCCTTTAAACAAGTGCTTTTTAGTCACTATTTCAAATCTGCAAATTAAACCTGGAGGGGAAAAAAAGATCTGCTCTGCTACAACTCAAAATTGTTGACACCGATGATGTTGATCAAGTTGACTTTGTGGTAACAAGGTCTAATATGTGGTAAAAAGATGTTACTGCACATTTGATATGGAAGAAATGACCATGGCCGCACAGATGAGTTGGAGAGTCATTGAAACCTTGTAGGCAGAAGTATAAAAAAGTATACTACAATCTGCTTGGGTCTAAATGACGTAAAGTTGTCTTCAGATACAGAGTGGGAGAAGCTCTACATGCCTACCACTTTTTGTCTGTGATTTCATGGACTCATGTGTCCATGTCTGTAACAGAGTATAACTCCATCTGTGGAGTGCAGCTAGGCAGGTGGTGATAATGTTTTGACTCCTCAGTAGTATGACTGCTATTGGATTGGTACCAAAACTATGTTACAAAGAGTTTCAAACTCAACATTTAAATTGCTAAAAGCTGACAGTTTGTTTCAATACCTCGGTCCAAGCTCTGGAATTTGATATTTGGTGCCATAATTTTGTGTTATCTGTTAGAACAGAAGAGAAATGTGGATGAACATTAGAAACAAAGGTAGAAACTGTTGCACCGCATCAAAAATTGAAATGATAAAGTGAGATAAAGTGAAAGATTAAATACCATTTATACTTATTTTTGGTCTTTTCCATGTCGTTGTGCTACTGATGAGCAGTTGATGGAGTCGTGTTTTTTTGATAAATGAAAAAGAAAGTTTTGGATTCACCAAGGGTTAAACTTTACCGTGGTCGTTTCAAGAAATTAATTTAGTTGTTTGTACTTTATGTTTGTTAGAGAGAATCTAAATCTACACTTAGTTTGTTCTTGTGATGCCATGAAATGGAGACTGGAATCCTTTCAAAAAATAAAATCACAATAAGCAACTTTACCAATAGAAACTCACAGGTTTGCTTCCTGCAGCCACCTGCATGTAAATTAGAATTTCTTCTGGAAATTTCTCTGTATCATTGCAGGGTCTTTAACTTACAATATACAGCTCCTTGAGGTGACTGTTGTCATGATTTGGTGTTATATAAATAAAACTGAATTGAAAAATTCCTCAAGTCTGTTTCATGAATCTGTAAAATACAACTTTACCAAGAGGGCTAACCGACAGCAGGCGGGACAACAGTTATGCTACAAGAGTTTATCTCTCACAGTTTGTTTGAACTTTTGAATCCGTGCAGCTGGAAAGCAAAGTCTGGTCATTTAGCCAGTGCTTTTTAAATATGTCACACTATAGGAAACAGACTAAAACACCACCTGGTGGGTGCTGCAGGTTTCTTTTTGGAGTGACAGTACCACCACTTGTTCTTTCATAGACTCATTCTTCATGTTGCAAAAATAAATGTGATTTTCCATATTGACTTCAGTTCATTTGACATATTATATCTAACCAAAAC